TTGGACATCAGCAGCTAGCATAAATACAGGCAGGAAAACAGATATAAATCCACCTTTAACTGATTCAATCATGTTTTTTTGTTTCTCTTGTGTTTTTTTTTAACAGCCTGTTGTTTTTAGCTACACATTTTAAACCCAACCATTCGACATTATTTAGAGACCAAACTTAGCTTTTAATTAAGTTTTGCAAAGTCATACTGATGGCAGAATTGAATGCCGTAACTTACCTTTCTCTTCACACATTAATTTTTTCTCGAATGTGTCTTTATCTTTCCCCGAAGCAATGAAGTACAAGGCTTCCTTTTCAGGAGAAACTCTTTTGGGTCTCATTTTCCTGTGAAATATAAGAACATTTTATGCAGGATATAGTGCATATGCTAAGTAAAAAAAAAAAAAAAAATAGAAAATACTCTAAAAAAAAACTCCTTAGAATTGTGTAGACAATAACTTATTGAAAAGATGACAATGTGGCTGATAATTTACTACATTTTTACTATACTTTTTATATCAAGTATTTTTATAAAATCATTTTAAAAAGAAACTGAATATCAATAATACCAATCTGCATGCACATTTACATTGTAAGAGGATGCAAAAACATTGTATAATGTTAGCATTTACAAATCATCATAAAATGAAGTTAGAATGTACAACTTACCTTTTACTTCGGAAAGAAAAAAAGTGAGATGAGAAATGGCTCAGTGCGCTTAGGATCTTGGGATCTTGTAGGTAGATAAATCTTTAAACTATAATAGAAAGATAACTCTCCAATGTAGGAAACAATCTCGTTGAAGTCTTCTAAAGTTGTGCTCTTCCAAATGCCAAACATGAAGTGTGAATTAGGAACCTGGAATAGAGAGATATACGTTCTGCTATCGGAGCAGTGATTGGGCCATCGGATAAACCACAGTTAGCCAACATTACTATTGGTTCTGTTATGCAAATGTTTTGTGATTGAAATCAAATAGCTAGATTAACATAAGGGTAGAATCTGTTGGTAAATTAGTTTTAAATCCAGTTGTAAACATCAACTGGATCAGGAAAAAGTACTTTTCATAATTAGTATTATTTTGCATGCATTTTAAATAGAGCACAGAACACAAACCTATATCAATGGCAGATAAAACATGATAAAGTTAATAAAGGAAAAGTTCAAAAATAATATCAAACTATGGGATGGTGCAGCATTTAAAGAAAGTAGGCGATATACAATTAATTTACTATTTAAAATATTTTAAAAGACAGAAAAAAGTAATTTACCACAATGTAAAAAAATAAATAAATAAAAAATCTGCTCATTTATAAATCAAATGATGTTATAGGGATGTAGCAGATTACCATGGGCATTCATATTTTTGTTGGTTTAACTAAACCTTTATACCACATCTGAAACGAAAGCTCATATTAATAGTTCCTCTTGTTGAATCTCTCAAAAAAATACATGCAGAGTCCTCAGAGTGTTTTAAGTATAGGATGACTTGTTTAAGCATGTGTATTTTTAGGTCTAAGGTAAACTTTCACAGCCTGGCCTTTGAAGCCGTTCTCCATAGAGATGCTAATGTCCTGCAGGTAGTGGGGGTTGCAGCTCAGTCCACTCAGGGACTGAAAACACAGTGAGAAAGCGTCCGATCACAGCCATTGGGATATGTTTCAATCAGCTCTGTAATTTAGCAGAGCTGTTTACAATACAGTCAAATCACACCACATGTATTTTTACACGTTTATATATCAATGTTTATACTTAAACACATTAACATTTTCTAAGACAGCCCTTGTTTTAGCAGGTGGGGAATAAATGAAATATGATGAGTATGTCATAAATCTTGCTTTAGTAAGCAGACACTTGAGAGCTTAATGTTACTTACTCAGACTGTTAGTATTAAACAGATATGTTAGCTCAAATACAAAAACTTATACAATTGATAATACTTGATAATACATATTTGGAATGTCTAAAACATGGATGTGGTAAATGGATCTAGGAACACAACAAAGCTAAAACCATTACTGAAACCATTTTGATTCTGTCAAAAATAATTTCTAACAATTGCACCCCTTACATGTCCAGTCAGTCCCTAATTCAATTTTTTAAGATGTTTTCAAAATATCCACAGTGTATTTTTTAATGTATGTTTGTTTTTATTTGGTGTGGCTCAGATGATGAATGGAAGTGCATGTTTATGTTATTTTTGTGTTGTTGTTTTTTTGTCCCAAAATAAGAAACCGTAAGTGAGTGCTTGTAATAACTTCCAGTTAAAAAATATTCATAATTACCGGTTGCTTACATGCGCTCCTCACAAAGATTAATACATTTTTTAGGTTAAAGAGCTAAGGATGTTAAATCCACAAATATCTTAACTGTTATCCATAAGCCAACTGCAATTAAGACATTTGATCAAGAAGTTTATGACAAAGAGAACGATATATCTAGCACAGAGAAACAACCTGTAGGAGCGGGATTTGATCAGATGTGAGTGTGAGCGGCACACAAGTGGAACGTTTGCTTGGATTGGGTCGAGCGCAATGCAATCTTTGCTCAAATGCTCTGATTGGGATTAAAGATTTTTAAATAAAATGCCATAGAGAAACAGATACCATATTATTAAGATATCCACAGAACTAACCATTTAAAAAGTAAAATTCCTGTTTTTTACATAATGAACCTAAACAAAAGTATTTTACTTTTAAAAATCCTATTTACTTTAACTTTTTTAACGTTTTACATCAACCACCAGTATGTAAACGTTGAATTAACTATAAAGTAAGGTGAAGTAAATGAGTGACAGCCCTTTTCACGTCCCTAAGTTGTGGCCAAAATGTTTTTCCAGCTTTTGCGAAGAGTAGAGCAGACAATATAATAAGTGCCGAAGCAAAAACAGTCGATACACTTGTTACAACTGAACAGGTTATTTACAAATAGTTGATGAATGAATCCGCTTAGATGAATAGCTTATTTACAACAACAATATGATTTTCTGTCTTAATTCTGCCTCTGATTGTTTCACTGCTAGTATATCTGCTAGTGAATTGAAGCATTTAATGTAGTCTATTAACACCTGGTCTAGCGAGATAAAAACATGCAGGAAGTTACTAAACTGCAATCACCTGTGATTATCATATGTAAAGGCAAATTTACCTAGCTTGAATGTAAATCGTTAACCACACATTCCAAAAGAATAGTTTTAAGCACTATGTCAATGAAAGGATATTGCTGTTTTTTGTAACTAAAACAACTCAATTCACACTAGTGAATAGCTGCTACTATATGGCTACTTCACATCTGGGTCATTCACCCTTCTCAGTGTTTATTTTGCGATAATAGACGGCTGGATGTAGCCTACATCCCTTACTCACTTTACTAACTAACCAACAAATTATTTAAACAACAAAAAAAAAGTTAGTAAAACTTAATGTTAGTAAAAAAATAAGTGGTTGGTTCATTTTCATTAATTTGGTTAAAAAACAATATTAATAAATGGAAACTTATAAAGTGCTACCCATTTTCAATGAGGTTGTGTTTTTTAAGAGTTACTATAAACTTATAAACGGTTGTGTTTTTATGAGCTCATATGAATAAGATAAATACACTTAATTAATGTATTATAATAGCATTGGTTACTTCAGATTACTGAATGCATTAAATTACCGACATTAAAGGAATAGTTCACTTTGAAATTAATTTTTGATATGTTTTATCTTACCTCAAGGGCATCCGAGATGTAGGTGTCTTTGTTTCCACAGTATTTTCAATTTTGACATTTTTTGGTCAAACCGTTCTTGTCTATCAGTCCAACACTATCTCACGACCAATTCGTACGAATTTGACGCATGATTAAAAAGTGTCTAATTCGTACTAATTCGTACGACCTCACTCGTACTAATTCCTACGATTTGTCTAAACCCACGTGATGGTTAGGTTTAGGGGTGGGGTCAGGGGTGGGTCATTCGTACGAATTCATACGAATTGGCCAATTCGTAAAATATGTACGATTTAGCAAAATCTTATTAATTCGTACGTGTGAGGTCGTATGAATTGTTACGAATTAGCCACTTTTTAATCATTCGTCGAATTCGTACGACTTGGTCGTGAGATCGGGTTGATCAGTCATACACTGGAGGTGAAGGGGGTCCACCAAAGAGCAGCACAGAGAAGTCCAAACCGCAATGGAAGACGATTTCGGGATATCTAAATATGTTTAGTAAAAGGTAAAACTTCCGAAATCTCTGTGTAAATATTGAGTGACGTCACACGCAAGCGATCACTTCCGGCGTAACATTGAACTGATTCAGTTCGGTTCAGTTGGACATTGAACAACAGATTCAGATCACTGTGATTACAAGAGGTAAAACGATATAAATACTGTTGGTTTTCTCACACAAACCGCTCATTTCGTGTCTTAGGCCATCAATGTGTACTTACATTTACGAGTCATTAAATCATGTTTAATTTGGACTTCTCTGTGCATGCTTTTTGGTGGACCCCCTTAGCCTCCAGTGTATGACTGATAGACAACAACGGTTTGACTGAAAAATGTCAAAATTGAAAATACTGTGGAAACAAAGACACCTACATCTTGAATGCCCTTGAGGTAAGATAAAACACATCAAAAATTAATTTCAAAGTGAACTATCCCTTTAAGAAAGTACTGGACCATGTGTTGTTTATTTGGAGTTCCATGCATATTTAATCTAGTTCACTGTTTACTCACCAATACATTGGTATAACCCCAATTAATTTACTATTTAAAAGATTTTAAAAGACAGAAAAAAGTAATTTACCACAATGTAAAAAAATAAATAAATAAAAAATCTGCTCATTTATAAATCAAATGATGTTATAGGGATGTAGCAGATTACCATGGGCATTCATATTTTTGTTGGTTTAACTAAACCTTTATACCACATCTGAAACGAAAGCTCATATTAATAGTTCCTCTTGTTGAATCTCTAAAAAAATACATGCAGAGTCCTCAGAGTGTTTTAAGTATAGGATGACTTGTTTAAGCATGTGTATTTTTAGGTCTAAGGTAAACTTTCACAGCCTGGCCTTTGAAGCCGTTCTCCATAGAGATGCTAATGTCCTGCAGGTAGTGGGGGTTGCAGCTCAGTCCACTCAGGGACTGAAAACACAGTGAGAAAGCGTCCGATCACAGCCATTGGGATATGTTTCAATCAGAGGGCTGTTTCACAAAAGCAGAATTTAGAAATCCAGAATAAGAGATAAAGCTGGGCTTGACCTAGTGTGATCAGTGCATCCTGGCTTTATCAGTTTCACAAAGGCCAAACCAGGCTCAGGAGGAGCGGCTATGTCAAGCCAGGTGTAAGTAATTCAGATAAGTGGGAGTCAACAGCTTTCTTCAACAGACCACACAGTCCATCACAGATTCATTGATGCTACAATGGATAAGTTGCGTGCGCCATACTTCAAGTGTTGGGTGTAACTAATTACTAAGTAATTAGTTACTGTAATTTCATTACTTTTCCTTGAAAATGTAAAGTAAGGGATTACTCTTAATTTATCTGTAATTTATTTACAGTTACTTCTGATGTAATTGAGGTAAAAACTCAGCGATTCGTATGCATTTTATGAGGAATCTAAATATTACGACCGCACTCGTATGAATTATTGTAAAATATGTATGAAAAAAGTGTGAAATGTCATGAGATCAGACATAAAACAGTAGTGGGTTTAACATCAAAATGTAGCCCAGATAGCAAACTGACATTGAATCAACGTGGAAATATGACATCGAAACAACGTTGATCTGACATCGTTTTGCTCATCGAATTAACGTTGAACCAACGTCAGACGCGTCATTCTTTCAAAACTAACGGAAAATCAACTTGAAATCAACGCGTTGTTTCAACGTTATGAAAGCGAACCAATTTTCGATTTTCATTTAGCTTTGAAGAATGCCGCGTCTGACGTTCAACGTTAATTCGATGAGCAAAATCAACGTTGTTTCAATGTCATGAGAGACGTCGTTTCATTACGTCTTACAGGTTGCATTACTTGTCTTTTACTTTTAGAGATTAAAAACTATGTTCATTTTGCTGTTGATCTATGAAGGAAACTGGTTGGTAAGAAAGGGGGCATTTTACCCCACCTTGGGGGGTGTTTTACCCCACCGCTGGGGCAAAACACCCTCTTTGTACAAAAATATTTTCAGTCAAAAAACAAATTAATTATGAAGGTTGAGCAATTTTAATATTTGGTAAATAACTCCTGCCAAAGACACTCAAAACTGGGATGGCAATTCTAGTCACATTTATGTTTTGCTTTACAGTAATGTCACATTTTCCTTAAGGGGGGCATTTTCCTCCACTTCTACCCTAACGCTCTTGCAGGTAATTGTCGGGAAAAGCCAATGGGTCGGACCTGTCCCGAAACACTCTTTCACGTCTGAAAGGCCTTCTCAATATAAGTGCTTCATCAGATGTCATCCAAAAATGGGCATGCCAAAACTTCATTGACAAAACTTTTGCTTCTTTATCAGCCATTTCTCTAATTCCCTCATCATCACATACAATAGACTATTAAAGACCTATCTGTCTTCAAAAACACAATTGAATAGTAACAATGCCCATATGGATAATTATTATTATAGTTAATAATGGTAGGCTACCATCATAATGTTACAATAATAGGCTATGCTTGACTGAATGCCAATATGTATCTGAGGTATTTTAATGCAGACTGATAAAATTGCGCTGAACTTATAGATGACAAAACGGAATAACTGACAAAACACATTGGATTCTGATCGGCGTGACCGCTGACTGAACAGATAAGGCACGAGGATTGACTGAGCCTGGCTGTTAGCCTGGTCTGGAGCAGGCTAGCTGCACAGAATAAAACGCCATGGTAACTTATGTGCTACTGCTTTCGTGAAACCGAGTCCCGGCTTAATTCAGCCAGGATATCTGGAAAATCCCGGCTTAATCCACTATCTTGGTTTTGTGAAATAGCCCTCAGCTCTGTAATTTAGCAGAGCTGTTTACAATACAGTCAAATCACACCACATGTATTTTTACACGTTTATATATCAATGTTTATACTTAAACACATTAACATTTTCTAAGACAGCCCTTGTTTTAGCAGGTGGGGAATAAATGAAATATGATGAGTATGTCATAAATCTTGCTTTAGTAAGCAGACACTTGAGAGCTTAATGTTACTTACTCAGACTGTTAGTATTAAACAGATATGTTAGCTCAAATACAAAAACTTATACAATTGATAATACTTGATAATACATATTTGGAATGTCTAAAACATGGATGTGGTAAATGGATCTAGGAACACAACAAAGCTAAAACCATGATATGATTTTCTATCTTTTAACTTATTTATATTTTTAAACATAAACGAGGATATTGTAGAGATTACCATATTGTTGTTTTACTGTCTACCTCTCAGCAACAAAAACTAGTGATTGAATGTGTATGTATGTAAATATTCACTGATTCAAAAAAATAAACAAGGTCCTATACACTTGGCATTAACTTATATATTTTTTTAGATACAATCATATTGGGACAATGATATACAGATGTAATCAGGATCTGAATGAGTTTGATCTTGTCTACTTTCGGCCATGATGATTGAAAACGAGGATGAAATAAAAGCTGTATTTAAATGGAGCAGTCCAGTTTATTTAAAGTACATTGGTAAAACCACAATGAGCTGAAAAACCATACACTGATAAGAACCGACAAAAAAGGAACAAAACACAGACAGAAACCTAACACTTTCAAGTAGGTTGAAATCCAATCACACATGGTGACATACACGTTTAAAGTGACTATGTGTAAACAGCCATTTGTCTTTTTAATTTCTTGTGATCAGATTGGTGAAAATTCATGTTAATAACAGGTGTAAATGTGGCTCGATGTACATAATTTTCTTAGATTTTTAATTAAATTCATTTTTGCTGTTGTTTTGTTTTGGTGTAAGACTACCCCAGGTGAAATACACCAATATGAAATTAACAGGAGTAAAAATGTATTGTTAATTGTTAAACGGGAATTGTAACAGGACTTTTAATGACTTACATAAAATGTTGCAGACAAAATAATCTGAAAGTTATATGGTGTTTATTTCTTTGGGACATTTAAAATAAATATATTTTATTAAAACTAATCTGAAGTAAATAATAAGATCTATCACAAAATCTATGTTATAACTAAGTCTTAAATTTACTTTTATATTTGTTTTTTTTTTTGTTTCTTTTGTTTTTTGCAGTGTATAAGGTCAACATTTTCTTGATTGACACTGGGCTAGTCCAATCACATCTTTAATCACCTCCCCCTCTGGGCTAAGAGAGCGTGCAGTGTCAGTGAGTATCTGTCAAAATAGTCAGAGCGATGGAGAAGAAACACAAGGAATGTGCAGAGAAATGGCGTGAAAAAAAAAAAAAAGAAATCGCCTTCAGTGTCTGATTAGGAGTGAGGGGGATCATGAGAGACATTGAGTGTAGAGAACTGTTTGTTAGAGATATTTGACAATTACGCATTTTATTAGAATTATAATGAGAGTATAAGACCCGTTTGTAAACCATGTTTTTTGTCAAAATAAAAGCTGAATGCCGTTTCCATCAAAATAAAAGATAATGTTTTTATATCTCTTTCAAGTTACAGAAATTAGTTCTAAGCTAATAATGAAAGTTGCTTTTATTTTTCAGTGCATGTGTTTTACAATATATGGCTATAACTGTCTTGTGATTAATATTATAACTATGATTAATTATGTATTATGTAATGTAGACAGACACTATATCCCAACTAAAAGAGTTTTGAGTTTTTCTTTGTTCAATTTGCACACTGAATATGGGTTGGAGCTCTTAAATTTGAACTCTCAAAGTGCACCAGATTGATGAATTTAACATTAAAGGGTTAGTTCACCCAAAAATGAAAATTCTGTCAGTATTTACTCGCCCTCATGTTGTTCCAAACCCCGTGAGACCTTCGTTCATCTTCGGAACACAAATTAAGATATTTAAGATATTAAGATCGCTCCTGCATACAGTCCATAGGCTTCTTGAGGGAATGACTCTTGATGGCATAGAAAAGTCATTAAAGACATCGTTAAAATAGTCCAAGTGACTACAGGGGCTCAATCTTAACTTTATCAAACGACGAGAACACTTTTGTGCGCAAAAAAACAACAAAAATAACAACTTTATTTCAACTATTCGTTTATTTCTCCCTCTGCGCGAGTCAGGTTACTAGTTTAATAGCGTAAGCTTCTGTTATTATACGTCACACGCATCACACACATGACCAGCGTCGGCCAATAGTGAGCCTTCGTGTGACGTAGCTCTACGCAATCACACTACGTTAACTGACTACAGGCCCATGGAGAAGGAAGTGAATAATTGAAATAAAGTCGTTATTTTTGTTTGTTTTTGTGCACAAAAATATTCTCGTCGTTTGATAAAGTTAAGATTGAGCCCCTGTAGTCACTTGGACTATTTTAACGATGTCTTTAATGACTTTTCGGGGACAGCAAGTGTAATTCCCTCAAGAAGCCTACGGACTGTATGCAGGAGCGATCTTAATATCTTAAATATCTTAATTTGTGTTCCGAAGATGAACGAAGGTCTTACGGGGTTGGAACAACATGAGGGTGAGTAAATACTGACAGAATTTTCATTTTTGGGTGAGCTAACCCTTTTTAAAGCATGCCCCCGAACCCCCCTAGAGGGACAGAGGTGCGCTGACCAATACTATATTTCATTTATTCGGTTTGGTCATTTACAGATCATTCAATCAATCAATCAAAACATTCGAAACATAAACAGGGATTAAAGTTCTCCGTCGCTTCGACGGATTTACTTTAATTGCAGCGGGTCTATGACGGATATCCGTCAATTGCAGGGTTCCCGTCTGTCCTTATGTCTTAAATTAACTTTTCATAATTTTAAGGCCGTAAATAGGCTTTCATTTCGCAAACAGTGTGATAAATGTCTTAATTTTAGTTTGAATAGGTCTTAAATTAAGGAAAGATGATGCGTATTCACCCTGCTGAGGGGGGATGTGATAAAGCCTGGAGTGGAGCGAAAGCACGTTCCTCTCTCCACTCTAAGCATTCTGTAGTCACTTTGCTCATGGTCCACTCCGGTTTTTCAATTCCCGCTCACGGAAAAACTGCTCCCTGGACTCAATCTTGTCAGGCGAGGCCACAGCTCGTTTGCTGCGGTCCCATGATAGAAAACAGAACGTGGGTCAATATTGGTCGTTTCTCAATACCAAGTACACAAACTTCGGACTTGCGTCCTTGGTAGTTCGGACTTGCCAAGTTCGACTCGGGAGAACAAACTCCCGAGGACGAGAGGACGCTGCTAACAGCGCGTTCTTGATCGCGTCACTCAGCACGCGGCTACTCCGGTTATCAACTCTGCCTTTTTTCATTAACACCACTGTGCCTCTTTTCATTTATAAATGAACATAATTATTATCAAAAACATATAAATGGCCACACAAATGTGGTTCAGGCAACGCACATTGATTATAATATATTTATAACAACACGAAATATAGCTAAAACACAAACCTGCTTCTTTTTGTTTTCATTTTAAAAATATATAACATTATTTATCATTAAAAAACTGACATTTAACAAACAGACAGGGTTGTGTCGTTTTATTGTATTATGCGTACACATACAGTGAAGAGAATGAATAGTAATATAATATTTTATATATTTTAGAATATATAAAATTACACAACCATGTCTCTTTTTTTGTTAAATGTCAGTTTTAATGCTAATATCCCGTTCAAAAGTATAAGTACCCTAATAGGTAGGCTATAATAAGCTATACAATGAGAAATAAAGCAAACAATTCAGTTAAACATAAGTAGGCTCTCTAATAGGCTACAAAGTTAAAGTTAAATAGCCTACATAATAAAGTTATAAAACTTCACTTTGCCCTCAGCCAAAACAATTTGCCATGGCACGAACTATATATTAATATAGTTTAGCATTGTTTGGTCTCATAAGATAAAATAAAAACATGCACTGAAAACTTATGTATATGGTTGATTATTTGTCAAGATAAGTAATTGTTTTTCATAGATTAAAATAGCTTTTAAATTACGCAAACTGGCAATATTATATTGGTTTTAAACATCTCCCCTTAAAACGCTATTGGTCTCGACTATTTAAATAAAGTTACAGGAATATGACTTGGCCTGCTTTAATCCCTGCATAAATACTATAGATGACCAGGTGCAGGCAGAAGCTAAAGCTTATTATGCCTGCCCTTAACTTTAGAATGAAATGTAACTTATTAATGACAACATCTGTTCATAAAAATAACATTAACACTTTCGTGAACCATTGTCCACACCAGAAGCAAGCCTGTCTAATTCATTTTTATTCTTTTATAGTTTTCCAATGTTATTCTCTTGTAATATTTTTTAAACTGAAAAATAGATGTGGCTTGTTTTAACTCATTACAACAGCTATTCCACAATTTAACTCCTTTATTTGATAAACAGTGTTCTCTTAATGTAGAATGTACTTGTGGTTGGTTAAATATACATAATCCTCTAAGATCATATTTACTTTCTCGTTGGGAAAATAATAATTGCAAACATTTAGGAGTTTTATTATATTTGACTTGATAAATAAATTTTAACGTGTACAAATCGACAAAATCATAAAACTTCAAAATTTTTGATTGATGAAACAGTAAATTACTTGGTGCATTGTATGGGGCATAATTAATTTATCTAATAACCTTCTTTTCTAATAAAAAGATTGGATTAGTTCTAGTTTTGTATGTATTTCCCCAAATTTCAATACCATACATTAAGTATGGTGTAACAAGTGAAGTATAAAGTAAATGTAATGCATTTTTACTCAAGATATACTGCAACTTGTACAAAATTGCAATCATTTTAGATACTTTCTTCTGAACATTAAAAATATGCGGTTTCCATGTCATTTTACAATCAATAATTACTCCAAGAAATTTTATATGATTTACTCTTTCTAAAATATTTTTATTAATAGTAATCCTGATCTCATTATTTAACTCTTTATTACTAAATACCATGAATTTCGTTTTATTTAAATTTAGTGACAATTTATTTAAATCAAACCAATTCTTTAATTTATACAATTTTTTCTCTACCACCAACACAAGCTCTGTAAGATTTGGGCCAGAACAATAAATTGTTGTATCATCCGCGAAAAGAATAAAATTTAAAACATCCGACACTTTGCATATATCGTTTATATATAACAAAAATAACTTAGGGCCCAAAACAGAGCCTTGCGGAACGCCACAATTAATGTGGCGTTAATATACAGTTAATATATAAACATCTTGTGAGAAAGACTGGTATTGCCAATGCAATTGGAGAATTGTATTTTAAACTTAGTAGTTATTTCATCTCACTCATTAGATGGGGTTGGTGGTTTTAATAGGAGTTGTTGGTATACATATTCAAGGGCGTACACAGTTCAGTTGTGTGTATGTTCATATGTAGTGGGCCAGTCTGGGCCAAAATGCCCAGGCCGATTTTTTTTGTCCCAGTCCAGCCCTGGGCGGACTGATAATACTGGAGCACCAACTAGCGTTCATGACTTTTTTTTACAGTCTATGCCTCAGCTAATAAAAAAAAAAAAAGCAGTGAACATGAACGAAGACGCTGACGAGACCCCTTCGGTTGGTCCTGTGGATGGGAAATTTAGTTATAAGAACGAACCGATGGAAGCGTCATTAAGAGCATGGTTGTTGTGTGCAAGCTATGCAACAAGGAATTCGCATATCACATCGACCCTCAAGTTTCACCTCAACGCAAAACATATACAATTGCACTGGTCTGTTGGATATGGTTGAACAAAAATAAACAATATTTTTTTGCTTAAGCTTATGTATTCAGTCATTATTAAATGATATACTAAAAATCCATGTGAGAAAAAATCTTCTCACTGTTCTCAGTTCAAATATTTATGCAATTAAAATGCGCTTAATTTCGATTTATTAATTACAAAGCCTCTAATTAATTAGATTTTTTTTAATCGAGTCCCGGCCCTAAAAATAATATATATAATTTACTCACACATTCTAAGTGATCTTATGAACCACTGACAACTCCTAAATAACTGGTTTGTAAATAATGCTATACTTCATTTAGATGTAAATTGATCATTAATAAAGTATGAAAATACAATTATTAAACACATTATAGATATGCTATTAAAACAAGAAAAAAAACATTTATAGCTGTATTTACATATATACTGCTTATTAATGTATTTTAATGCTTAATAAATGGTGAATTATCAGTTCACTAATGCTTAACTAATGATTAATACCATGCAGTTATTATAAAGTTACTGAAAGTTCCTATAAGCAGCCAGTTCACCAGCAGCTCTACAGTCTCAGAGCCTCTGGGACAGCAAGGCATTCAGACAATAGAGAAGTGTGAACGACGTGTGTTAATGGGCCATTGCAGTTCTTGCTCCAGCCTACAGGAGCGCTGCTGAGTATGGGCTTAAACACACACACACTCGCAAGTCCCCACTTGGTCAAAAATGTAAAAAATTCACCAGAGCGTTTTTTAGTTGATTTTAACATGTTTTAAGGCATAACTAACAGGGGACTTGAAAAATGTCCCCACTTCCCTCGGCGGTCCCCTGTTGGTGAGTGTGTAACGACACCAAAGTCCCCTCTTAGATAGGTAGACAAGTACACACACCGGACCAGTGTTACTGCTTGTGTTCGAGTGTGTGTGTATTAGAGGAATCGACGGCTCTACCTTTTCTCTGAGCTCCTGGTTCATCCTAATGAGATTCTGCTTTTCCTCCGCCCACTTTGAGTCCTGTATCACACACACACACACACACACACACCGTTACACATTACACTACTAATACTTCTCTAATACTCCTATTCCTCACTGCACACTAATCACACACACACACACACACTCATTCGCTCGTGTCAAAGCACAACAAATAATCAGCATGAAACAATCAGCTCAACATAAACAGAGCAACACACACACACACACACACACACACACACACACACACACACACACATAAAATGACAGTTAAAGATGCAGAAATGGCTGATTTATTAGGCCACATGCACACATGCAGGAAAGTGCATTTCCATTTTTTCCAGGAAGAAAGTGAACGCATATGTGCGTTATATGTGCCCTTGTTCGCCCTCAGTTTTAGGTCATAGGTCAGGATGTGCCTCCTTCTCAAATCTAGGGTTACGGTACAGTATAAAGGAGAGACGCTATAGGCCAAAGCATTGATCTGATTCAAATATACAGAATAAAACCTGTATAGCTAATTGTTGTTAACATGCAAAGTAAATCTAAATAAATTTGACACAAGTCACATGACACCATATCGTCTCCGTGTAGCGGCCGCACACAAGCATGGCAGTCAGAGAGACGAGCAGCGAGGCCCATGTGACCCTCGTTCTCCTTTACCTGCCCCTTCTCTGCCAGGCTCCGCTCCAGGTCATCGATCCGGGCCTGACAGCCAATCAGCTCCGCCTGCAGCTGCTCCCGTGTCTGACGGACAGAGCAAGAGCCAATCAGAGAGCCAGCCTCGCCAGGTACACTCGACACGGGCTGCTTTTCAACTTCAAATCAATTACAAAATTTGGTAAGGAATTTTCTGAGGCAGGAACTTTCGGCCATGCTTGCTTCGATGCTGGCTGAGGGGCGTTTCAGTGAAAGGTCAGTTAAACTGGATCTAAACATTGGACTGATTGATGGAGATTTGAAGAGGTACTTCCCCCCAAAAGATGAAGATTAGCCCAAACTCTCCCTCAAGTCACCCTAGGTGTGTATGACGTTCTTCTTTCAGACGAATACGATCAGTCATATTATACAATGTCCACATCGGCTCTCTTTACCCAGCGTTTTTCTCGCTAATGTCCGGCCACTGGTCAATCAAATGGACGAACTCGCCTGTGCATTTCCTGCAATAGGAGAATTATGGACTCTAATATCATGATTTTTACAGAAACATGGCTGAATAATGCATTCCGGACAGCGCTATCCACAAGTTTCCGGGGGACGATCCTGTAAAAAATAAAGTGGGTGAAACTTCCGGTGAGGCGGCGGAAGTAGCATTCCAATGGTGTTTTGTGTGTTAGTTAGCGAAGAGGCTAGCTGTTTTTCGGAGAATTATTTTACTATTTAAAGACGCAGATCTTTATGAGAGATGTTGTTACGGAGCTCAGGGACAACATGTGCTGTTCGCGGTTGTATGTATAACCGGATTAAACTAGTTCAGTGGCTTAAACGTGATCGTTTTGAACATAAGCTGAAAACGAAATCAGAGTGATCCTGCCAACGACTGTAGTTTCCATCACCTCCCAAAAGACGACGAATCTTCCTGTGTACATTTGTTTAAATTCTTAATATTCTATCAACTCTATCAGCATGTGATTGGCTGTTCGCTACTGATGTTACACCTAAACTCAGGATCAAAGCCTGTGTTGACAGAATACCAAATGTGCCAGTTAATGTATTCAAGCAGCACATTCATTTATAATTTTGAATGAACTCCAAAGCACAATGACTAAGTGTGTATTTTTTATTTTAATTGTTTGCCAGCTCACACAACTGTCTGTCACCATGCCTTGATGAGTATTGATTATTAATAATGTTATTATCAGCTACTGCGGAGGGTAAAGGTACTGTTATTTCACCCTTTTGAATTTGGTTGAGGTTGTGTTCCCACATCGTTAGCTAGTTTGGATCGCTATAACTTGAATGACTGTCAACTGTTGAATGAACGAGTGTCAAGCATGTCAAATCGCGCTTTGTTTACTTCCAACCGGAAGTCGCGCCCACTTTTGACGCAAGGCCTCATGGGGCGTAGGAAACTTGTGGATTGAGTTAGCTGAACGTAAGGTCCTCCAGGCCTTGACCAGAGGCAGAGGGTTGTGCATTTATAGAAATAAAGTGTGATGCACAAACTCTGTTATCACTGGAAGACACTGCTCACCTAACCTGGACTTTCTTATGGTTCAGTGTTGACCCTTTATATCCCCAGAGAATACCACCGGACGCTAATGCTAAGCTTGCAATGAAAGAACTACACGCAACCATTAGCAAACAACAAAAAATTCACCCAGAGGCTGCTTTTACTGTTGCGGGCGACTTCAAGCCCTCCAACTTAAAGATTTAAGCCCCTTTCACACAGAGATTCTGGAAAATATACGGATAATGTGACCCGGTGTTTATCCCGGGATTGTTTGATTTGGGTTCATTCACACTGCCAGTGATTTGCCGGGATCTGTGAGTGCGTTCACATCCCGGAAAGACACATGACGTCAGGATGAGACGTGTAACGTACGTGTCGAAAACATGTACACGCTGTAACAGTTCTGAAAGAATGTTACATTTCTTGTGCTGTAATTCAACTCCCCGCCTCAAGGGGGAGCTATAGATGTTTCTTTGGTAGGGCTATCCTTTTAAGAGAGACAAGTAAGAGTGTTTAGACAGGTATTGGCATGGCTTTGAGTGTTTGCTCAACTGAGCCGTATGCAAGAAACCCTATTTTGAGGAATCCTTTTGGTTCAACAGCTCAATGTAAGTTGTATATATTTTGTAATTTGATTGTTTATTATCAATGTTTTTTTTTGCATATTTTGATTTGTATTTGCCTGTTTGTTTAGAGGGTTCTCTGTTGACTTCATTCAATATGGACACTTCATCTGGACTATGTTGTGCTCTGGTTCTACACCTTTGTTGATTACGAGGACTGATGCTTTATGATTTAAAACACTTTCTGTTGGACTTCTACTCCGGGACTTCTAATGAACTTTTGGAATATTGGAACACTCACTTCTAACAAGAGCTACTTGTGATGTGATGATTTGCTGACAATTTTGATGTTGTGTTTATCTACACAGTTTGGGCTTTTCACAAAACCATAAATATACTTAACTCTACTCTTGGATGAATGGATCCCCTTCATTTCAGTATGTGACCAAACAAGAGCGCTACAACGCGTATACCGTACACGCGCTGGTGAACGATCTCAGCTTCAGTGCGGATAGTGAGGAGCTCCGGGCCTCTGCTTCGCTCCAGTTTGCAGACATTTCTGTTCATCCTTTCTTTGTTGATGACGAACACAAACTTTCTTTTAAGAGCAACAGAGTCGTGAGATGGCACGAGCGTCATCACTATGACACACCCCTTACGGCATTGGTCCTGGTCCTTTGGCCTTTATGATGGACAGATGCACTTTTATGATGGACAGATGCACATTTATGATGGATATATGCGCTTTTATGATGGACAAATGTGCTTTTATGATGGACAAATGTGCTTTTATGATGGACAGATGCACTTTTATGATGGACAGATGCACTTTTATGATGGACAGATGCACTTTTATGATGGACAGATGCACTTTTATGATGGACAGATGCACTTTTATGATGGATAGATGCACTTTTATGATGGACAGATGCGCTTTTATGATGAACAGATGCACTTTTATGATGGACAGATGCACTTTTATGACGGACAGATGCGCTTTTATGATGGACAGATGCACTTTTATGATGGACAGATGCACTTTTATGACGGACAGATGCGCTTTTATGATGGACAGATGCGCTTTTATGATGAACAGATGCACTTTTATGATGGATAGATGCACTTTTATGATGGACAGATGCGCTTTTATGATGGACAGATGCACTTTTATGATGGATAGATGCACTTTTATGATGGACAGATGCACTTTTATGATGAACAGATGCACTTTTATGATGGACAGATGCGCTTTTATGATGAACAGATGCACTTTTATGATGGATAGATGCACTTTTATGATGGATAGATGCACTTTTATGATGGACAGATGCACTTTTATGATGATAGATGCACTTTTATGATGGACAGATGCACTTTTATGATGGACAGATGCACTTTTATGATGGACAGATGCACTTTTATGATGGATAGATGCACTTTTATGATGGACAGATGCGCTTTTATGATGGACAGATGCACTTTTATGATGGACAGATGCACTTTTATGATGGATAGATGCACTTTTATGATGGACAGATGCACTTTTATGATGGACAGATGCACTTTTATGATGGATAGATGCACTTTTATGATGGACAGATGCACTTTTATGATGGACAGATGCACTTTTATGATGGACAGATGCACTTTTATGATGGATAGATGCACTTTTATGATGGACAGATGCACTTTTATGATGATAGATGCACTTTTATGATGGACAGATGCACTTTTATGATGGACAGATGCACTTTTATGATGGACAGATGCACTTTTATGATGGATAGATGCACTTTTATGATGGACAGATGCACTTTTATGATGGACAGATGCACTTTTATGATGGACAGATGCATTTTTATGATGGATAGATGCACTTTTATGATGGACAGATGCGCTTTTATGATGAACAGATCCACTTTTATGATGGGCAGATGCACTTTTATGATGGACAGATGCACTTTGATGGACTTAAAAACGTAAACGGCCATTCACTGCCATTATAAAGGAAGAGCCAGGACATGTTTTAATATAACTCTGACTGTATTCGTCTGAAAGTAGAATGTAATGTACACCTAGGATGACTTGAGGGAGAGTAATTCATGGGCTAAATAAACATTTCTGGGTGAACTATCCCTTTAAAATGAAATGTGTTAGAGAACCGGTGTGTGTGTGGTTATCATGCGTGTGTGTGTGTGTGTCTGGGGTCGCGCTCACCCTGCAGTGCCTCTCGGGGTCCAGCGGGCCGGCCGTCTCCTGCAGAAGTGCGTACGCTCGCTGTAGCGCCTGGTACTCGCGAGTCAGCTGACGGAACCGTAGCTCCGCCTCCTCCCGGCAGAAGACCTGCCCGACAACACAAGCTGTCAATCACATCATTTACCATCCACTCTTACCAATCAGGATTGAACTAGTTCAGCAGCTCCTAAACGTCAAAAACACTACTTCTCTGTTTGTCTGACCCATAGATTGTTTAGTATTGTGATATCTATATTTGCAGTGCAGGGCGAGTAATAATCTGATTCCATTCACCTATTTGTATGAGCATTTTGGCATATCGCATAAAAAAATTGCTAAAAATAGTAAGATGAGTATTCATTTGAAAAACAAGTGTCTTTTTACACATTTTATCTGATATGAAGACATGCACATAAACTATGATGGAAACGGAATTAATCCCAGTATGCACAGCATGACCTCAGGTGACTGTGCCTCAGCGTCAGCTTTGATTGGCTAACTGGAGAAACCAGCGGACCAATGGCATCGCAGCATCTCTAAAGTCGGTTTGGTGTTTCTGAAAGTCGAAGTGTGTGACCAGAATGATTGCGAGTAATTCCCTCCAGAAGCGTCTCACACACACACACACGAGTGTTTCGTCCGACGCTCGAGACACACTCGTTTATGATGGAGGGAAAACAGCCGATTGCAGAAAATCACCGTTTATTACTGATATTCTGATGATGCTGTTCTCTTGAACACATGGGATGGAAACGCTGCTTTATTCACAAGTGTTTTATCCTATATTGCAATTCTGCACCTGGTAAATTTACTTTTAACACAAAATGTTATTTTTATACAAGTCAAGTAAAATTGATGTACGAAGCAGAAAATCAGAAAATCATGATATTCATCAAAGTATCCTGAAAATAAAATATATGATAGTTTCCACAAAAATATGAAACTGTTATAAACACTGATATTAATCATAAATGTGTGTTGATCATCAGATCCTCATATTACGAGTGATTTCTGGAGGATCATGTGACACTGAAGACTGGATGATAAATTCAGGAATAAATGACACTTTACTGTATATATTCACATTGAAAACTGAATAATATTTCACAGTTTTACTGTGTGTGTGATCCGCTAATCGCAGCTCAGCTGAGCAGAAGAGTGTGTGTTAGTGTGTGTATAGTGAAGTAAAGCGTGACATACGTCCTCGAGGTCCTCTTCGGGCGTAGCGGGCGTGTGATCCGTGTTATATGATGTCAGAGACGACGTCTCCGAGTCGACAGATTCTTCATCAAATCCAAAATATGTCTCCACAACATGCCTCTGAAACACAGAATCACACCATAAACCACTCCAGCTTTCACACACGCCGTCGAACGTGATGATGATCTCCTCAGCGTCCCTCAGGATCGCTCCTGATCCCAAACCTGCGTTACCGCACACGTTTATTTCCACAGACTGAAGGAATCGAGGTTGTTCGTTCCCACAGACTCGGTTCTGAACCCACAAGACCGTTCTGAAGGATCTCTCACCATCGTGCTTGTAGGTCATCTCCTGACAGCCGGAGAAGTACAGACACACCAGCCCACACAGACACAGGAACATGCAGAGGTACAGCACCAGCAGGAAGTACTCGTTCATCCTTACACACACACTCGCCCCAGCAGAGCCACAGACGTGTGTGTGTGTGTGTGTGTGTTTCAGAGCAGATGTGTGTGTGTTACGCCAGTGTCGGTGAGTTATAGTCCCGTCTGCTGACTCCTCCTCCTTAGCAACACTTCTAAACTAAAGCTGATCACCATCACAACATCAGGACCACACACACACACACACACACACACACACACACACACACACACAGGACATCCTCCAATGCTCCAGGAGAGGGTTTTGTCATTTTCAGGGCACCATTTTATATTTTATATGTAAATCCAAACACACACAAACTCGGGGGGGTAGTGACGTCTGCGTATATAGACTGGTTCCTGTGGTTTTAGATGTTTGGTTGAGTTGTTTTTGACTGTTGTGAGAAGTCTGGAGAATGCGTGAGAAAGAAAAGAGAAAGCAAAGGTCTCGCGAGGCCAATTACTGAGCGGTGCTCGTCGGAGGAGGCGGTTGCTTAGAGACGCCCATCCCGAGAAGAGGAGCAAGCCGAGCGAGACGTGCGGATGAGGAGGAGGAAGAGGAGCTCACCTTGGGCAACTTGGTGTTTTTCCTGCGGTTCTTCTTGTTGATTATCAGCCTGTCCCGTTCCTGAAACACATCATGTAAAACACACACACACACACACCTCAGAGTCGTCGCTCAGCGTGAGAATCAGTTCATTAGGGGTTGAACGACTTCAGATTTTTTGAAGTGACATCAAAGTCGAGTCGACGCCGACTAGTCGCTGACGTCATTCATTAAAACACAAGAGATGTGACAGATTTGCAACAATTTGCACTTAATGAACAGAAAGTGACGCTGACAGCTCGTGATGGGGCCGTTTACACCTGCACACTATAAACGCATGACCTGATTTATCAAAGCGATTCCAGTTACACCTGCTCACATAAATACGTTTTCGCGAAATGGATATAAATCCGATCTTCAAACAACGCGCTATATGCAGATTTAACGGAGTTCACGTCACCGAACGCAACAGTAATGAGCTGCATTTTAATGATCATCAGCTAATTTCACAATCAAAGACCGCACTGAGAGAGACAGCACTGCTAGATCATTTTGTTTCTTTACTTTTAACGAAGATGATTGTGTGTTAAGCGTCTGTGACTTACTTTCACTGATTTACGATAGTTTCCCAGATAGCAAACTGACATTGAATCAACGTGGAAATATGACATCGAAACAACGTTGATCTGACATTGTTTTGCTCATCGAATTAACGTTGAACCAACGTCAGACGCGTCATTCTTTCAAAACTAACGGAAAATCAACTTGAAATCAACGCGTTGTTTCAACGTTATGAAAGCAAACCAATTTTCGATTTCATTTAGCTTTGAAGAATGCCGCGTCTGACGTTGGTTCAACGTTAATTCGATGAGCAAAATCAACGTTGTTTCAATGTCATGAGAGACGTCGTTTCCACGTTGACTCAATGTCAGTTTGCTGTCTGGGTTGCACGTTGGCTTTATGAGTAGATGCTCATCTGCGGTGCGTGTTATAGCTTCGTCATATCATGAATATAATAGCACAGGCTGCTCTCACATGTTTTATTTCAGCATTTTTGGGAGAAGTCCAATTTACATATGCGGTTTCAACAACCAGATGCCTTTACACGTGTCCAGTTTCGTCTGTACAGCGGCCCAGACCTCTTCATGAAGTGGTTTGAGCGATCGGATTTAAATCCGTCTCCAATGCGTTTCGGAGGGCATTTAGCTTTTCACGATCGGATAGCAATCAGATCACAGAAACACGTGAAGTGGCCCGATAAACAGCCCGCTGTTTACATCATCATTTACGATGAAAAGAAAAACAAGCTATAAATTCACATCTGCAGGTTAGTGATGGATCTACGTAATACCAAATAATATTCCTATTGATTACGGGTGAATTAGAGATGCATTAAATAAATATATGAAAAAATAGGCTAATGTTTGAATGATTTTAAGAGAGACTGCTCTCATTTCCCGGTAAAACAGAGAGCGTGCGTCATGCTTTTACTTTCGTTTTCAACAATATAGTGGTGCTACGTTAGTAAAGTATTCCCATACGCTTCATGTGCCAATGCTGCTATCCTGCTGCAATGACCCTCTGGACTCTCAGACTGATCTCATGAAGTACACGCCAATTCGTATTTCTATGCCGTTGACTTAACGTTATATAAATGAATCTTTTCAGTATAAGTGTAGTTTATGCTCACCAAGACTGCATTTATGTATATGTCACGTTCTGACCCCAAACTGTTGAAGAGTGTGTTCCCGACCGCTGTAACATCAGTGTGTGTGCAAACACAAGTCATGAGGGACACGGAGAGACAATGAGGCTGTAATTCATTTCTAATTAGGCTTTGTCTTAATGAAGAAAACAAACTAATTAACAGACACAGCACTGATTACCAAACACAAGTAATTACAGGGCAAGGCCAATTAGAGATTGAGCACACACACACACTCACACACACACACATTATAAAGCTGAAAGCAGGATACAGAAATATCGTACGGCTGGAACACACTACACGACTCTTCAGATCTGGACACTGGGCATCACACACTGAACCACTGAGGATCACACACACACACACACACACACACACACACACACACACACACACACACACACACACACACACACACACACACGTGTCCAGACTTTCAGTCAGAGCAAACTCAGTTTTGTTGCTGGAAGTCGTGTGGCAAATGAAAACAGTATGTGCCCTATCTTGCATCAGAAAACACCTGGTCTGAAGTCAGCGGCGCGTTGCGTGTTCATTCAGATGCTATTTTAAGAGCGCATGCTCGGCCATAATACAGAGAGTGAACAACGCACATACACTGATTCTCTCATACACACAGATGCACTTTACTTTTTACAAATGATACATTATTATAAGATGTTCAACAGATCATTGTTGTGTCCATGACGATGGGAAAAATAGGCATAAAGCTTACACATTTACCCAAATTATTATATGCATGATTAACCGAGGCTAATTTGTGTTTGTCCCCAATGTCACGTCTCTTTCTTTCACGGCCCTGACGAGAACATTGATCTCCTCGGCTGTGAAGCGCGTCTGGTAAACGCACCGTTATAATAGTATTGCGCCACCTCATTCATCACGCTCTTAAAGAGAATGTGATATGACGCTCTGATTGGTTTATTTCACGTTACACCCAAACCACACCTATGAATAATGAAGCTACTTCAGATTAGGGCTGTGAATATTCCTCTATAATACTATTCGACTTCCATTCCATATTTCATGTAATCTTTCCCGGATCTTCCCGGATGTCTGTATGGGAAACCTAGCCTAACAGCTTGGATAACGTGCACAATTGTGTTACGATTCAAAAACTTTATTTTTCATTAGACGAAACAAAAGCATTTCATTTTCAAATGCGTGTAAGCCACGAAAAAGATTGCATATATAGATATATTTTTTTTTTAAATATATATAAAAGCAATATTCGAATAGTAACTTCAGCATTCGAATAGTATTGGTTTTTAAATATTCGAATTTCGGAATTCGTTCCAACAGCCCTACTTCAGACCAACCCCTTTTAGATTTGCATCGAGCGCAAGAGTCGTTTATCCCGCCAATAAAATAGTAACAGCGCCGACAAAGTTACTTGTGTTTCAGATGGTTAAAATAGGGCCCCCATCAGCTCAAAGCATCCCACACATCACAAAAACGCAATCTGTGACCATCATAAACTACGTCCTGTGAAATCTGTCCACTCAAATCTGCAGTAACCAGCGTCAGCTTGTCCTGACTGTACATCGGGCAAATGTGGTTCCAGCCTTTATTGAGTGCTTATTATTGAAATGTTCATTTGCTAATCATTTCTGTCTTTGTTAACCACTAGCATCAAAGCCTCACTTTCCATTAGCAAATGAAATCCTGATGTCTACAAGCTAAGTTAGGTCCCAGGTGCACTGAATGAAGGTAAATATGTTGCGGATCAGGTTGGTGTTCACGAACCTGCGTGAGCTCGTCGATGGCGCCGCGCTGCTCGCTGATCTGCAGACGCAGGTACTCCAGCTCCTGCTGCTCGTGGGTCTGACTGAGGTCCGTCAGAGAGGTGTGTCTCTTCAGGACGCCCGGCTGCGGGTTCTGGTGGGATTTCTCCTTCTGAGGGGACACAGCGAGAGGAGATCAGCTTAAGCGCAGTACGGCTACACGGAAATGATCCTCAGTGTTTCTCAGCTCGCCTGCTCTGCGTTCTCTCTGCTGAGCGTCTTCAGCTTGTCCTCCATGCGCTGTAGAGTCTGCTGCAGCTCTTCGTTCTTCTTACTCAAGCGCTTGTTCTTCTCCATGAGCGGCTTCATCTCTCCGTCGGTTTCCCGCACTCGTTTCAGCTGTACGGCAGAGAGAGACGGATCTACGTCAGGCCTGACACAACACAAGACTTCTCCAACAGATATTGAAAACAAACAAAAAAATTAATGTTATTGGAGTATGTTTTACAAGAAAATATTATTTCCTTCAAAATGTCACGTTTAATTCAATATGTTACTTGTCAACACATAACTGTAATTATATGTGAAATTTACTAGAAATTTCTGTGGGAAAATTGTTCCAAAGTAAATCCTACACAGTTTTTATTTCAGTGTAGGGATGGGTCTAGGATACGGTCACGGGCGACCCAGGAGCTTTCTTCTGGACCGTATCCCTCCCAGTGGACGAGGTACTCTAGTCTAGTCGGACGCCCCGTCGTCAGTTGTCAAGGCGACTCGTTCCTGGAGCAGAAGACAGGTTCAGAGACAGTCTCTGGGAGTGGCGGGTCTTTGTGCATCAGTTTGGTTCTGGTGTCTTCGCACTCCCTGTTGAAGATGTACGTGTGCCGAGTCCCCTCTCGCTTTCTTCAAACCAAGGGTTGACAGCTGGAACCTCAGATGGTTCGCCAGACCAGGGGAACAGTGGTGGCTGGTAATCAAGCATCCATTGGAAGAGGTGTTAAACTAAAGGTCTTAGGGCAAACTTGTTCCAGGGTAGTAGATGATTACAGCTGTCCTGGTGTTGGTGGCAGTCTACCGATCTCTAGGATCTGAACACAAAGTCTGGCCATTTGTTTGCAGGTGAAAGGCTCATGGAGACTCCCAATAACCTGAAGAAGGCTTGCCAGACTCGGGAAATTAATTGGGGGCTTCTATCGGATACCATGTCCTCCGGAAGTCCAAAATGCTGGAAAAGCAGTTCAGCGGCCTCCAGTGCTGTGGCCAGGTCCTTCAGGGGAATCAGTTTGCAAGGTGTCAGAGGTCGCACACTTCTGGAGCAACTAGGGGTCAAGTGTCTTGCTCAGGGACACATTGGTGTCTCACAGTGGATTCAAACCTGGGTCTCTCACACCAAAGGCATGTGTCTTATCCACTGCACCATCATCACCCCATCATAAACTCGATTTCCACTCGATTTTCCACCAAGGACTCTGAGGTATAGGCAGTGGGAGCAGCTTTCCCTCCGAGAGACTCCGTGGTGTGTTGATCATGGCACAGACTGAGAAGCCCATCATATATCGGGAGATATCCTGGGTCATGGTTCTGGAGAAGCGAGAGTGTGTTCTGGTTGCAGGGGTGTCCAGAGCCCGGAGAGGTGTGTGCTGAGTCCATGAGAAACGGATGAAGGGAAGAAGGAACATATATTCGTTCCTCAGGACCTCCCGGTGGAGCAGTTTCAGAATGAGGGGCTTTGTCGAGGGCCAATATGATGGGACGTACGATCAAGGCTGGATTCTGGAGGAGATGGATCAGGTTCAGGAAAGAGCATCAGCTCTACAGTTGACTTGGACGAGAAGTGACAATGAAAGGCTCACCAGGCTTGTTGAGGGTTAAGTCTCTTGTCATCGCAAAGGTATTCAAGGTTTCGATGATCCGTGATAACTTCAAACTAATGCCTGGCTCCCTCCAGCAAGTGTCTCCACTCTTCGAGAGCTAACTTGATCGCCAAAGTTCTCAGTTATCAATATCTTAGTTACGCTTCACCAGGGACAGCTTTTTGGAAAGGAAGGCACAGGGATGGAGTCGTGGAGGGTCACCCTGCTGCTAGGAGAGTACAGCTCCTACCCCATAGTGGAAGCGTCTACTGCAACGATGAAGGTCGGGTTAGTGTGTGTGTGTGTGTGTGTGATGGGTCGGTTAGTGTAAGGGCCGAGAATATACAGTTTGTACAGGATAAAAACCATTACATGGACAATCCTCACAAAGATATATGTAGGAAACTTGTTATTGCAACTTTTTCTCACAATTGCCTTTTTTTGCTCACAGCTGATTCTGTAAAACTTATTAATGCTGAAAAATAATCTGAATTGTGGGATAAAAGGTCAAAATTACCTTTTAGATTTTTTTATTCCGTGTTGGAAACAAGCTTCAGGAATAAGATCCTATTAGATAAACTGTTGAACATTTGCACAAGGTTTTATCTCAAGCTTGTGTGTGTGTGTGTGTGTGTGTGTGTGTGTGTGTGTGTGTGTGTACCAGTTCGTTCCTCTCATCGGACAGCAGTGTGTTCCTGTCCTCTAGTTTCCTGATGACGGCCTGCAGCTCAGCGATCTTCAGCTGGAACCGGCGCACGTCTCTCTCTTCCACTTCCTATGAACGGAGAAACATGCTTGATTGTGTGCTGGTGTGTATGGAAAGGCCTCATGTTCCTGTTTCTGATCCCAGAACACACCTGGTTACTGGCGGAGTCGGTGTTGTCCCCGAGGGAGGGAACCATCTCTCTCTTCGGACTGCCATGATGCCGCTCCGCCTCCACCCTCTGCAGCAGCAGCCGCTGCGTCTGCCCCGCCTGCACACCCAACTCCCTCTCCAGCGACTGCACCACCCGCTCCCTGCTCTTCAGCTCCTCCACCTCCACACACACACACACACTTCACTACAGGCTCTCTGGGCCAATTCACTAACTCCCCTTCCTGCGGGTCTACTACTGGGCTGAGTCTACTTCAGGTGGAAGTCCAACCGAGCATTGAGCTCGTTACTAGTAATGCACTGATTCAGAAACATTGGCCATACACTGTTGTTCAAAAGCCCGGAAACAGCACATTCAGTCTTATAAAAATCCAGTTTTAGTGTGGGAATCTAAAACTTCTGCATATGAATTACAATTATCAAAACACACATCATTTATTATTATTATATCATAATTTATAACCATTCAAACTAAATTGCCACACCTTTCTCTTTTAGGTCAGTTGTTTTTACATTTTTTACATCGAGTTAGATTTGTCTCAAAAAATACTTTGAAATAAAATACTATATTTAGCCTCTTTCCCGAATCTCTCACACACTTTCAGGTCTGACTTTTTTTGTTGGTAAATTTGAATAAGACACTATCAACATAAAAATTAATAGACATAACAAATAAACTGCATCTAATTACCAACGGGCCAAGCTTGTGTGGAGCTAGAGCTCAAAGAGCAGTGGGGTCAGTGTGAAGGGGAGCGTTTAAAGAAAGCTCCACACCAACTCTGCTGCCCCCTGCTGGAGGAGCACCGACTCTGCTGATCTACCTGAACTTGCAGAACAGGAAAACACTGACATGTTTCACTCATCAATGAGAACTTACTGCTCTGATTGGTCAGATGACCTGGCCTGTTGTGATTGGTCTACTCTGCTCTGATTGGTCAGATGACCCAGTCTGTTGTAATTGGTCTACTCTGCTGTGATTGGTCAGATGTTGTGATTGGTCTACTCTGCTCTGATTGGTCAGATGACCCAGTCTGTTGTGATTGGTCTACTCTGCTCTGATTGGTCAGATGTTGTGATTGGTCTACTCTGCTCTGATTGGTCAGATGACCCAGTCTGTTGTGATTGGTCTACTCTGCGCTGATTGGTCAGATGTTGTGATTGGTCTACTCTGCTGTGATTGGTCAGATGACCCAGTCTGTTGTGATTGGTCTACTCTGCTCTGATTGGTCAGATGACCCAGTCTGTTGTAATTGGTCTACTCTGCTGTGATTGGTCAGATGTTGTGATTGGTCTACTCTGCTGTGATTGGTCAGATGACCCGGCCTGTTGTGATTGGTCTACTCTGCTCTGATTGGTCAGATGTTGTGATTGGTCTACTCTGCTCTGATTGGTCAGATGACCCAGTCTGTTGTGATTGGTCTACTCTGCGCTGATTGGTCAGATGTTGTGATTGGTCTACTCTGCTGTGATTGGTCAGATGACCCAGTCTGTTGTAATTGGTCTACTCTGCTGTGATTGGTCAGATGTTGTGATTGGTCTACTCTGCTCTGATTGGTCAGATGACCCAGTCTGTTGTGATTGGTCTACTCTGCTCTGATTGGTCAGATGTTGTGATTGGTCTACTCTGCTCTGATTGGTCAGATGTTGTGATTGGTCTACTCTGCTGTGATTGGTCAGATAACCCAGTCTGTTGTAATTGGTCTAATCTGCTGTGATTGGTCAGATGACCCAGTCTGCTGTGATTGGTTTACTCTGCTGTGATTGGTCAGATGTTGTGATTGGTCTACTCTGCTCTGATTGGTCACATTCACAAACAGCAATATTACACACTGCATTAAAGGCAATATCTGAAAGTATCTGAAATCTTAAAGTTATGTCTGTGTAAGGTTAACGTTCGCCATTCAGAGCATGAGCGTGAACTAACTTCATTCATGCCTTCATCTTACCAGTCTGCGTATCTCCCTCTCGCTCTCGCGCTTGATCCGCTGGATCTCCTCGTGATGGGCCTGATGGGCGACTCTGAGATCGGCCGCTCGGGCCCGGTCCGCCTGCAGGGCGTTAGCGAGCGCCTCCTCCGCCTGCCTGCGCGAGGTCTTAGCCTCCTGCAGCTCTTGCGCGAGTCTGAGCTTCTCCGCCTCGTAGCTCCTGCGCACCTCCTCGCGCGCCTCCTCCTTCAGGGCGCTGCGCAGCTCGCTGCTGGCCCCGTCCCGTAACACACACACCAGCGCCTGCAGCCGGGCCAGCTCGGTGTCTCGGAGCCGCGCGCCCCGGGCCAGCTCCGCCTCGTGCTGTCGGGACAGGCTCTCGCGCACCGACGCCACCTCGCGCTGCTTCTCCTCGTGGAGCTTCACGCGCAGGTCGGTGAGAGCGACCGAGTGCTTGTGCTGCTCCGTCTCCCGCTGGGCCCGTAACTCCTGCAGCCGCTCCCGTAACTTACACACCTACAGTACACACCAACGACAGCTCCACATCAGCTGAACTGAATCTCCATCACTTCTTCAAGTCCCACTTTATATTAAGTGGCTTTAACTACTATGTACTTACATTGAAATTAATAATTTGATTCAATGAACTTATACATGTTTTTACATTGTATTTATATTTTAAAAATGCCAGCATTTAATTACAGCTGTAATTAATTTATGTAATAAAATTATTTATTATTTTTAAATAAAGTTTATTTTCAAGTTTTTCTTTACTTAACCCATTTAATGTTCTTGAATGATTTCTCTTTAAATTAACTCTCTTTAAACCACTGTGTGTTTAGTGTGTTGTATAAATAAACGTGCCTTGTCTATAGGAAGGCATTAGGTATATTCTCTATAAAAATGCCCATAGTTCTCCCATACCCTCATCTTGTATATGTTGAACTGGTCAGTGGTTTCCCAGTAGTGCACTGCTAATCTGCTAAACATCTCACAGTTTCACACTGACAGTCTGTCTCAGAATATGTTTACACTCCTCACTAACAGACACCCAGTAAAGCACACACACACACACACACACACACACACATCTGTTCAGACTCCACACACCAAGTCATTTAAAACACTCTGGTCACATGACATCATAACCTTCAGTGTTTTCAGACAAGTTTGATAACCTCATGTATCACTAAAGATTTCCTTGGCTAAAGACCTGAGATATGCATCTTACACCGGTACAGCGTGAGACGTGATGTCTTCAGACTGCATGTTCTAGCCTGAACACAGACGTTCTTTCCTTAGACTTGCATTACACTGAAAGTATTTCAGTATTTGGCACGTATTCTCCGGTCTTTGTTTCCAGCGTTCGCAAAATGCCTTCATATTCCGTCAATATTTCATAAGCTTCAGGGTTTTATAATGGTTCAGAGACCAGTGGTGAGAAAGCGATGAGCTGGAAGGAATGAAATGTTTCTGAGAGTTGGCCAGTTCCAGAGGCACGTTTGCATCATTTGTGTAAAATAAATCCCTCTAATTGTCTAAACGGACACATTTGTGGTGGCGCCGCGACAGTGTTCAGGGTGTGGTTTCCTCTGGCACATGCTGGATTTATGATTCATCAGCGAATCAATCTTCTCTGAACTGAAGCTTTCTTCAAACTACCTGATTAATATTTTAATATCTGAATCTGTTTAGTAGTTTGTTGCACAAAGAATACATGCAAATCTGATTTGACCCACATTCATATATGCTTTACAATCTGAATCAACTTTTAAAAGCTGTATTTTAGGAAACGCTGAACATGATCGGGTCGATGTGTGTGTTTATATGTCACACGCTTCAAAGCGGGATATATTGTTTGACATGCGCACACTGCACGGATATACAGAGTTTCCCGATGTCTGCGCATAATATCTATTCTCCTACACTGGCTCTTTATTTGTTTTAAACAGCAGACTTAATATTTAGCCATTTCTGGACATAATTACACAATTTCTACATCATTATACTATTTCTGTCATTACGCTATTTCTACATCATTGGGTTATTTTTACATCATTACGCTATTTCTACGTCATTACGCTATATCTAAACCAATACGCTATTTCTACGTCATTACGCTATTTCTACATCACTATACTATTTCTACGTCATCATGCTATTTCTACTTTATTACACTATATCTAAACCAATACGCTATTTCTACGTCATTAGGCTATTTCTACGTCATTACACTATATCTAAACCAATACGCTATTTCTACGTCATTACGCTATTTCTACGTCATTAGGCTATTTCTACACCATTACGCTATATCTAAACCAATACGCTATTTCTATGTCATTGGTCCTTTAAGTTTTGTTTTTAAGTCCGATCAAGTGGTTACATGTTCTCTCGATCGGATTAGAAAAGGAGTAAACCAACCCTTTAAATCCGATCGAAATCTCATTAGGATCGAGCTTAATGTGCTGGGCCTTCCCTCTCTCCTGTGGTGTGTGTGTGTGGTGTGTGTGTGTGGTGTGTGTGTGTGTGTGTACCTTCCCTCTCTCCTGCTGCAGCTCGTGCTGTACGTCGCTCAGTCTGCTCCTCAGCTCTTCATTGGCCTGTAGAGTCTCCGCCTCTGGTTTCCCGCGGCTCTTCTTGGGGGGCGGGGCTAAGGTGGGCGTGGTCGCCGCCATCCTCACGAAGGAAGGTTCTCCAGTGGAACCTCACGCCAGTCCCGCAGTGCCCGTGGAGATGGAGCCCGGCGCCGGCATCCTCCTGCCGGGAACAGAGTCAGTGCTCAGCCTTACACAGCACACCCAAACACACACACGGGCCATGTGTTCACTGGAGTCTGGCTCCTGAGTGTGTGTGTGTGTGTGTGTGTGTGTGCCTCCATCTAGTGGAGCTTCATGCTACTGCTTTACCACAGATGGAAGTGTGTGTTTCATGCTCTACTCTTCCGCATGTGAACTGTCCCACTTCTTTACACCCACTACTGATCGCTCTTACGGGAATATCCCGATGGGAATCTGACCGTGCGACTCATCTCCTGTCGAGGGACATTTCCTTTCAGTCCGGACAGAGCGCTGATCAACTTACAGACACTTATGATGTCGTATGTGTATCACATTTTGTGAAGATATTGTGTCTGAAACTCAAGCTGTGCAAAGCCCTGGGCATCTGAACCAGAGGAGAGCTGTGTTCATAGCGGCAGTACTGTGGGATTAGGAGACGGCTCAGGGCGGACGTTCACAAGGAAAAATATGATTTTACACAAAAGAGAGAAGGCAATTTTTTAAAGTCCCCCTGCAGTCAATCATTGTATCCCTTAAAACTCATCTTTGATCACCAAAATGACATATTTACGTTTTCTCCTTTCACAATTTTTTTCATGCCTTAAAATATCTTGAATGTAACTCGACACCCTCGCCTCACTTAGTATGTGCGGTGGTACTATGAATATGCAAATGACCCCGCCTCCACTCACTCAGAGATCCACTGGTTGTCGATCACACGTTGATCTGATTGGTTACAAGGTGGTTTGTGACGTCAGAAACACCAGCGTGTGTTTTTGAGACTGTCTTTGGTTCACTGCAGTTTTAAGGAGGAAATACTCAGCAATGCTGTCCACTTATCAACGCACACACGGTGTGTGTTACAGCGGATTAAACACACCACACACACACACACATAAACAACATTAAAAGATGGATTTACAACTGACTGATTTTCGTCTTCTGGAAGATCATGCTCTCCACTAAACGAGTCTCTTTCACACACACACACACACACAGCGCCAGGACGTCCAGGCCGACTGCAGATACTGTGAGAAACATCAGATCAGATCCCGAGGGAAAGAAAGCCTCGTCGGTGTCTTCTGCAGTTTAAAGGAGCTGGGAGTCGAATACACAACAACTAAACTATCAACTCTTCTCCTTAAAAACAGACTAAATATGACTTTACAGCACAGACACCAGGGTTATTATTGTTTACGTGAATTACCTGTTAAAAATAACCAAAAAACTGAATAAAACTGAAACGAAAAGTAATTAAACCTAAATATGCATTTAAATAAAAACTAAAACTTCATCACAACAAAATCACACAAAAAACTGAAATTAAAATAAAAAATTATAACTAAAAACTAATATTAACTAATATTTCTACAAACTATGATGGTATATAAATCACAGTAAAATTAAAAAATATGAATGACCCTGCATTAAAATATCACATCTCGTGGCATATTTGCAAACAAACTGCTTTCCTCAGGAATAAACCTCCACAAATACTACATCTTAAAGTCATTTAAGCGTCTATACACTGTCTCCAAACGCAGATTTAGAAGTTCACCAATACTCTACTTTTGGACACAGAGCAAACTCTCTCCGAGTCTGAGCGAGTCGTTTCTGCTGACCTCTGACCCTGCGAGCCTGATATCGCCAGAGCTTCATCTGAACAGCAGTGTTATCTCTGCATATGCAAACCAACGCAGCGCTCACTGGTCATGGGTGTACACGTCACGTGACCCTGTGGAGATCATGTGACCCTGTGGAGATCATGTGACCCTGCGGAGATCATGTGACCCTGTGGAGAGTTGGAGTGGATTAAAGCCTTTCCCATACAGATGCAGGACTGGTTTCAATGGAAAGTTGTGTTAGGGTGTAACAGTGTTGACACAGCAAACACTACTGTGTGTTTCAGGGCTGTACGACCTGGGATCTTATTGAAATGTAATCAAATAAAGGACTCTGGGTACATATTTGACAGTCAGAGATAATCAACCAGGCACATTCAAATTCTGTAACATTAGCCTGACAAAACGACCAAACCACCAAAATACCTCATTTATACCACAGTTATTACAGAACTTTGTAGGTAACATGGACTTCACCAGAGGCTCGTACACCTGCGGACGGGTAAGACCAGCCGAGAAGCCATCTCAGAGGAACTCCACTGGGCCAAACTAAATGAAAGTGGAACTAAAATAGGCTACTCAAATTTGCTTATAAGTTTGGACCAATGATAGACAGGGCAGCGCATAGCCTTTCTTACTGTATGTACATCTATGGAGCAGCGTCCCGAACCACTGACAGCAAAATAAAGCCGGTCGCGGGCCGATCTCAATCACGCGACACTGGTACTAGGAGATCCAGTGAAGAAATCCATCGAATTCGCCTCAGAATTAATAACATCATCGCCAGGAGATCCAGTGAGAAACACTCAGAGTTCTGTTATAAACCACAGATATCAGACCAAACAGCGCTGACGTGGAGACCAGGAGGCTTTCAGTCCACAGATCAGCAACATTCACCACGGATTTAGGATAATGTAGTAACTTAAGGGGGGGGGTACACTTGTGTCACAGGAGTGTTGCAATACATTTTTCTCCTTAACCTCTTGCTGTTACTATTGGCCAAGCACAGAATAACAAAAAACACTTGTGTGTCAAGCCATCAGAACCGAACCGAAAACTGTGGATAAAACCCAGGTATGCATTGAACCGTGGGCTAACTGTGTTGTTGCATCCCTAAAAACAAAGGTTTATTTTAGTTCAGATTAACATTTGAGCGAAGCAATTGTATTAATAATACCAAAATAAACCAGCGTAATGTTATCAAACTCCCATCATGGTTACAGTGAGTGTTATACAGTAAACCCAGGGTGGTGTTGCTGATCTGTGGACACTGGATAGTTCATTCATGGCACATGTTTCTCCTGGTTTCCACGTCAGCGCCGTTTGAAATGTGAATGTTTCTCACTAGATCTGGCAGCGATGTTATCACTTCAGTGGTGAGCCCAAATGTTTTCTTTAGTGGATTTGTCTGTGTAGTAACAGTGATTGAGATCGGCTCGCGCTGCATTGGTCCAAACTTATCAACGGTCCGCCAACCACATTTGGTCCGCCTACATTACATTTGCCATTTGATGTTGGGCAATGACGTCTCTTACATTAACCCTAACCCAGGCGGGACGCGCCAGCATTTGAAATAACAAAATTATGGTCGGCATGAAAAAATGACCCAACGAACCGTTCGGTTTAAAAATGCGTACGGAAAACCTTGCACTGAACGGTTCAAAACGAATACGCGTCTCGTTACACCCCCAGTTAAGGGTTAATCTTCTGAAATATTGTCCCTTCATGGAAAGCGTGTGACTGCAGTCTAAGTGGACGAGAAGAGGTACGGGAACCACTGATCTATGACATCGCTGCATGCGAAACCCCTTTTGGAAGCTGTATTTTTAAAGAGGATCTGTTCTGCCCTCTCTCCGAGTCGTGATGTTGTTTCAGGCTCTCCTAGAACAGGTTTTCCAGCTTGAATGTTGATTATTCTCCTCATATTCTCCATTGTTGCGGCTCCTCTCTTCCCAGTCTGTCAGTAACGCTCTGTTCACTTCCTGTCTCTATGAAGCCCCTCCTCCTGAAAGCACACTGTGCTCTGATTGGTTGGTTGGGGTAGTGTGTTGTGATCAGTCGAGCGCTTCGAGTGTGTTTTGGAAATGTCCCGCCCCTTTCCATAACCGCCAGTTTAACACACTCCTAACTAACTCAACCAGGCCCCGCCCCTTTACTCTGCGCATTAATTATTATAATGAGGAATATTGTGACGTGTTCGAAAACTCGAGACTAGTGGAGGCGTTTCAGGAGTTCAGACACACTGACGCTCATATAGAGGAGAACTGGGACAGCAACATCACACACTGAACACAGATGAAGATGGAGAATATCAGCCTTTAAAAGGAAGAGTAGGCCGTAAGAAGAGTAATATCTTCATTTATTGGGTTAATATTTCTTTTGTTGACCGTACATCAATAACAGTGAATAACAGTTCTTGTTAAATATGTTGTTTTTCAAGTTGTTGATTTGCACACATAAACACTGTTATTACGCCTGTGTTACTGACATTATTATTATTCATTTGTATTGTTTTTAGTGTTATTATTAGTGCCATTATTAAATGAAGTGTTAACCGTGTGCACACTACAACTGTAGGCCTGTGAGAACGATGTGTGTGTTATAGCGAGCGCTCTTGGCGATTAGTGAATAGATCGCATGACATTCAGTTCAGCGTTTTAAAAACATTTCATTGAGGATCTCAGACCTCATACACACATGTCGGTTATGAAATTAGGGAAGTTCCTGATGTTATTAATACTAGCCTTATAATATAATAACAATAATGGGCGGACTTGAGTTGATCCTGATCCTTCCACAGAAGATCTATGAACATGATTTAATATTTGATATTAATAAAGAGAGTTTCTACCACTATAGCAGAGTAGTTCAGTTTTGTGGAAGAACAATATACAAAAATGGTTTAAATTCAAGAGGGTTTTGATCTGGGGATCTAAAACAAACATCCAGAACCACTGATCGAGAAAACACACATTTGAAGGCTGATTGGACTTTGATACTGAGATATAGACCTTGTGACCAGCCCTCCCTGAAGCCGAGGAGAACTATGGGAAATATATCCCTGTACTGCCGGTGTGTGTGAGCCAGAGCTGGGCATCAGAGACATGATGAGCAGAACCACACCCACAGACACTGACCACTGCAGAGAAACATCTGTGGCCATCACACACACACACACACACACCACTGACGTCATCCTGACTGACAGCTGTCTCCGTCTGGATGTTCACACACACACACACACACACAGCATCGCGAGCTCAGAGTCGCTGTTAAATAAGGGTGTGATGTTGCGAGCACGAGCGCGAGCGCGAGCCGGATCAATAAACTCTCTCCGGTCAAAGTGACGAGACAACAAATTCATTCATATCGCTCATACAACCATTCGCATTCAATTATGTATTGTATCACACAGATGTGCCGCCGATCACACGGAACAGAGCACCTTATCCAGCGTATAAATGAGCATTTGTTGTACGATACCCCGTGAGTCGCCGGAGGGTCTCAGGCCGAACACGAGCGCCGAATCCCCGCAGAGAAACACGCCGGTCCGGGAGTGTGGACGAGGCTGTCGAGGCTGTTACAGTCAGGGAAGCGTTACATTAGTCTCCACTACACACACATCCGACAGAAACCCGACTTCCCAATCCTACTACAGTCAGTGAAGAAGGGATCGTTTAATATTCACGAGCAACGCTTCGCTATTGGAAGGAAGCGACGCAACGTCACCCTGTAGACTCGTCAAGTACATGAGCCGAGCGAGACTGTTCTGGCATCAGCTTTAATGTATATATATATATATATATATATATATATATATATATATATATGACTTCAAACAAACAAGCAACAATACACATAGAAAAACAGACAGCCAGGGGAGGCTAAACAATATTAAAGGACTGACAAACAGAAAGACTTTAATTGCTTTCTTATGTGAATGGAAAATAGTCTTGATATATGTATATGCATTTATTTTTCAAGAACCAAAAACAAAGGTTAGGATTTACTGTAGGCCTACTCACATTTATGCAGGATATAAGAATTTTACAAAAA